CAAATTTGGAAGTAATAATTTTTCTTTTTTCGTCTCTCTTCAAAAATTTATAATTTTGCATTTGCGTCATTGTTTTACCGGAAACTGCGATATTTGCTATTTGCTAAATAACAGGTTTTATTTTAATTTTTCGAAAAATCAAATTTAAAGTTTTAACATTACAGAAACTACTGTAATAAAAACCAATATATGTATTTTTTATACACGATACAGTGGCGTAGCCAGTCATTTTTCATGGAAGGGGTTTAACAAATAATTAATAGCGATCAGCGCCAATAAAATTGCGGAAATGGTGGCGCGAAGGCCCTCCATGGGGGGGCTCTGACACCCTCCCTTTCCCCGTGGCTACGCCACTGACACGATAAGTAGGTAAAATATTGTTCTCAATTTAAATATATTTTTTATTAGTGTATAGCATTTATTGCGCTCCATTAATGTTTTTCTCGGTGTACTATATAGACCATTTGTCTTATAAGTTAAATTCAAGGTCACAAAATTTTGCTCTCCGAATTTCAAAGGACCGACAGTTATTTTCGCGTGTTTTTCCAGCGCGCTGTTAACAGTAATATCTAAATATACTTTTTTGTCGCAATCCATTATACAGTGTGTTCCAAAAAGTTTTTCTTACACGTATAATTTTTTTTGGGACACACTATAATAGATTGCGACTTGTTCTTAACATCATTATCTGAATACACTTTGTTGTTAACAGCGTGCTGGAAGAGCACGTCGCAATCAATTATACAGTGTGTTCCAAAAAGTTTTATACACATAAAAAAATATATATTTAAAAAACACATTTGTATAATTTTGGGAGACACTGCATAATAGACTGTGACGTGCTTTTCGAGCACGTCCTTAGCATAAATATCTTAATACACTTTGTTGTTAACGACGTGCGTCACAATCCATTATACAGTGTGTTCCAAAAATTGTTTCTCTTCTGTATAATTTTGGGAGACACTGTATAATAGTTTGCGACGTGCTCGAAGAGCACGTCGTTAGCATAAATATCTGAATACACTTCGTTGTTAACAACGTGCTCAAAGAGCACGTCGCAATATACAGTGTGTTCCAAAAAGTGTTTCTCATCTGTATAATTTTGGGAGACATTATATAATAGATTGCGGCGTGCTCTTCGAGCACGTCGTTAGCATACATATCTGAACACACTTTGTTGTTAACGACGTGCTCAAAGAGCACGTCGCAATCCATTATACAGTGTCTTTCAAAAAGTGTTTCTCATCTGTATAATTTTGGGAGACACTGTATAACAAATTAAATATTTTTTCGGAATAAACATTAGCGTTTACCTTGAATTCAAACACCAAGTTTACTTTGATAACCCAGAAATATTATATTTTCATCCTTCTTGAGTTATCCTTCTAAAAAATTATTTTAAAAAATTACTTGATGTTATATTAATACCACTTACTATGTTTAAATTAATAATAGTTTTGCGAAGATAGGTTATAGCAACTTATAGCTACAAAACTATTTTTGTGTTTAATTAGATCCATAGAGAGCAATGTAATTTACAAAGGCCTTCTTTCAACATACAAATAAATGACAACTTTATAATTAAAATGAAAAACAACAAAATACCTCGGTATCATAAATGATATTTGAAATGGGCATTATATCCTACCTCTCTTTTATATAACAAAAAGTGCTTTGTATTAGAACATTATATTATCTGTCTTGCTGTACCTTTATTTATGGAAAGCCTGAATTGAGAGATTTATTATTTGCAATAAATATCAAAAGAAGTATACATTTTTAAATAATTTGACATTTAAGAGCCATTCACATATCACAGTTGACATCTTGATACTTGAGAGGCACAGCCAAGCATTATTTTGATTTTTGTCAAATAAAATAGCCGGTTAATTATTCTATGGGGTTGCGACAGAGAAGCAGTAAATTTGATGAAAGTGTTTTTGTGGCTAGGGGCGAAATAGTAGCACGCTTAATAGCACCACCATAAAAAGTCATTTTTAAGAAACTGCTTATATATTTTTCATAAATTGGCAGGCTTGGCGACTAATTTCGAATGAAAATAGCCTCCAAAATGGCTATATGGTTGCAAGCGATGCGTAAAGCGATGGGTAAAGGGTGGCAACAATTTTTTACAACCTAAACTGGAAAGGATATTGGCGTGACTGTTGCAAAATATGTTACCTGACGTCTCCATAAAAATTTAGCCATATACTAGTTATTGGCCCAACATTTTGCAGTGGGCTCCTTTACTAATAAGTTTGTGCGCAAAATTACTATACACTAACGCTGTGCAATGATAGAATGTAGAAAGTGGCATACGCTTATAGAATAAAAATGGATGAAGCTCTGATACGAATTCAGTAGATAACAATCATTTGCTTATTTTTATAAAACCAAGAGTATAATCATTAAGCTTTGCGCTTATCGAATCGATTTTCATCAAATTATTTTATTATTAAAAAGAATACAAAAAATGATCCGCGATTATATCAAAATTAAAAAAAAAACATTTGGCTTCCCTATAAATCAAAAAGTTCCAGTATTTTTCTACCGACTATCTTATTTTTCAGGAATCGATAGTAAATATATCATGATACTTCATATTTCATAAATGGTTGTGAAAATTGAAATTATTTTTTATATATTTGAAACAAAATTATCTTGAATTTACCACCTATGTTGTTATTTTTTTGTTGGAATTATATTCACTGAATTTTTTTTATATCGTCCATTGTTAGGTTTATGTTTATTATTAATTACCCGTACTATTTACATTTTCCTGATAATTTTATGTATAATCATTTTTTTTATTACATAAAATCATTTCAAAAATACATTATATTTCATGTACACATAATCATCACATATGTGCCATATACATTAACGAGTGATTTATATATTTTTTCCACCATGTATACCGTGATTTAATTTACAAGATCGACTCATGTTTACCATACTATAGCTGAATAAAATTTCAAAAAAATAATATGCCTATTTAATGTACCTCTCCCGTAAAACGAATTTTTATAAATTACCAACTTCATGGTAAGTTCACAAGAATAAATAATAACCAGAAGGATATCTCCAATCCGTGATCTTCGAGAGCTCGTGACCTTCAAGCTACACCGATATTCTACACCGAAACTTTCAGTACAAAGCGAATTTATAATTATTATTATTCTGTTGTTTCTGTTATTTTGCCTAAATATTTTTATCGTTGACTATTTTCTGATTTTGTTGTGCTTTAATGACAGTGTGAGTTATGGAAGAAAACAAAAAAAAGCTGGATTTGTTTGTAGTTATAAAGACTGCAAAAATAAATCTTATATCGGTGCACATTCATTTTACAGATTTCCTTAAGATGTTGAAAGGTAATATAAATAAAGTAATGAATTTAAGGGTTTAACGCAATAAAACTTACCCCCAGAACATGATATACCAGGTTTATTAGCATTATTAGACAGTAAATACGCGGATTTAGTGTTTAAACAGAATATCCTTTAAATGCCGACCGTCTTCTTCGTAGCAAGCTGTTAATCTGGAGCGTAAGCTGCGGAAAACGTTTTGACCTATCGTCACGGGTATGCCACGTATAGCTTTTGTGATGCGGTCCTTTAGCTGCTTGATGGTTTGTGGCATCGGTTCCTTGTAGACGACACTTTTCATGTATCCCCATAAGAAAACATCCAGGGGCGTTAGGTCTGGTGAGCGTGGAGGAAATGGAATATCGCCGTTGATGAAAATTACCGTGCCAGGAAATACTTCGGTCACTGCATTTATGGATATCGCTGCGGTATGTGCCGTGGCGCCATCTTGTTGAAATCACGTGCCATTGTTATCATAGCCAGGGAACTGTGGTAGGGATGGGCGTAAAAAATTCCGAACCATGACGGTATAGCGTGTGCTATCCACAGTAACAGAATATCCTGCACAAAAAAGTTACCTAATGAAAAAATGCCTATCTATACATTCTTGTACAATTTGCGAGGAATATTCAAAAGCCTATCAAAATTTGGACGATACATCTTTATTTTGTTACTATAAAGCTTATAACAGCTCCAATTTAGATTTATTTGGTAACTTAAACAATTAAACATGCCACACAATGATTTTGTAAAATGTATCTCCTTTTTAGAGGTAATATTTCAAATAAAGTTTGAAACTATTATTATACACAAAATGTAATAGATACGTTTCAAAGTATTTGTAGAAATACACGTTTTTCACATCTATGTGAAAAATTTCCACATAATTATTTAATAAAATTATTCGGTAGAGTAAGATTATTTTATACTCTTAAATGTATTAACCGAAATTTTAAAACTATAAAAGACAAAAAAGTTGTCATTTGGAAAGATAAGTAAATATTTTTTATGTATATAAATCTTTTACTTACCTATATTTGTAATGTATGAACTTAAAAAATAAATTAATAGCTAAATACCCAATATTTTTTAATTTTCCTGACCTTTATTTTGGTGCGTCTATGGAATACAAGTAATAACTAAAAGACGAGGTCATAGCTTGTCTGCATCAACTACAAAGGAATTAAATGAGAGATATCCTTCTGGTTATTATATATTCTTGTGGCAAATTGGTCCGTGTTATGCACCTTTATTTATTTAGATTTTTTTTTATTAAGACTACTAACACTAGGTATGTATTTTATATTGTTTATTCCGATGGGTTATTTTATAAACAGTTTATTTATTTAATTATTATGCTGAATATGGCCCAGAACAATTTAATGGTGGGTGGTGGGCTGATTCATTATTGGATAACACCGTCCATCATCTTCAAATTCGAACGAATTTTATATCATAATAACAAATTTGCTAACGTAACTTGCACAAAATTATAAATGTTAAATGTATTTTTAGATAATTAAATATATTTTTATTAATATTCTGTTCCTTCATTAACGTGAAAATGGCCAAAACGCTTTGGCTGCACACCCTAACTACGTGAAGGCAGCCAAAATTTCAAATAAAAAGAAGAATTGGAGCTAAAAGCTAAACAAAAATAAAGCTTCGCGTTGTTCGTCGAGCTGGTACTCGAAATTTTACTCTGAGATTTTCGCAAACAAAAATGGCCCAAAGAAAACTGAAAGTGAAATCCAAAGGTCCGAAAGCCACCAAAAAGGCCGCCAAAAAGCCCAAAGGAGGCGCCGTAACCAAAAGAGCGAGTAAGTTTTAGTTAGCATCATTCGTATAAACAAACAAAGCATCCGATGATCCGAATGATCTAATGGCCAGCTGGATTTGTTTCAGATCGCCCAGTTCCGGCCAAAAAGCAAGAGGTGAGCCAAAAAATCAAGCAAGCCATCACGAAGACCGTCAACAAAACTGCCGAAGATGATATTCGTTCCAGAGCCACTAGAAGCGGGAAACAGAATCTGTCAAAGGCTCAGCAAGCCGTGGCCAACCACACTAAAAAGGGTAAAGCTAAATAGTTTCGCCAACTAATACGTATTTGTACCTGTTAAGAGTGTTTTTAATAATACTTAAATCTGTAACTGAAGTACAAAATGCATATTAGGTTAGGTATTATACCATACTCTTCAATGTAGGTCATCTGATAATATTAATTTTCTTTTTACACACGTGTGAGTATGTTAAATTTTAATTAAAACATGTTATCTTAAATTTAGTGAAAATATCAATTTATATAAATAGATTAAACATTTTGATGGTTATGTATGGGGTGGTTGCTTTTATTTTATCACATTGTTTTGATAAGGATCTTTTGGAAAAAGTTTCCCATTTTGGAGGTTCAAAAAATGCTAATTCCTTCATTTGAAGGTAAGTTAGGTCAATAGTTCAAACATACAGGGTGTCAAATTTCATTTAAATAGTTCAAATGTACCATATTTAAAATTATGTAATTCAAGGTTTTATTATTCTTCAGTTTATTTTTATACATTTTTTAGCATTTTTCCATATCAATTGAGTTGTAAAAAGTGACTGCCCTATAGATGGACCTGTTTTTTATATTTTGACTTGCAAAGTAGTTTATTTTACTCAAAAAAAGAAATGTTTGTCAAAAAATAAATAAAAAAACCTGATGGGTGTTTTTCTGTTTCATCTTATAATAATTAATTAAGGTTAGGGTGCGAAAATTGTACTTTTATTGGATATCTATTATACAGTAGGGTTATGTGCAAAAAAGTGTACTTTAATGGAAAGTATTTTTTCTTTTTTGATAATTGAATAAATAAAAGCCTTTTATATGCACGTAGATGTTTTGTTTTATTAGTTTTTTTAATATTAAATCACCCAGTATATTATATTTCTTTCTGATCTTACTAGAATAGCTTTTTTGATGCAAATTACATAATAGCTATTTATGAAACCAGTTACGAAATCTAATTTTGACGAGAATATTTATAAAATTGTGTTCTGGTAAAAAATTACTAACATTTACGCAACCAATATTATGACTACTTTCTAAGTCTACCTGTTCTTTAATATAAATTTTCAATAAAACTGTACATTATTGATTTTAAAACAAAAAAGGTTTATTTTTATTTGTTTCCTTTTTACAACTGCCTGACAATGAATTTTTGAAACCAGTTTCATAATGTTCAACATTATGCAACTGTTTGCATAAAGTAAATCATTTTGACACATGTCAAAATTAGAAGAAAAAAAATGATGCAACTTTCGTATAAAATTTCCAAAAATATTAAATACATTAATTTTTTGATGTGTTAAATTACTTATTGTCTCCATCAAAAGTGTCCATGGTCCCAATCCTATCCTATGACTAAATATTGAGATACAGGGTGTTGGAGTTAGAAATCCCTAATTCTTAAAATGTACACCAAAAATCACTCTTAAATCATTTACAGGATGATTCGTGATTCCACAAATCTTTTTCAATCAAAGAAGTTATACAGGGTGTTATTGAAATACACGTACATATTAAAACTGGGTATTGCGCAGATTCCCACTGAATGTAGAAAAATATTATTTTTTAAAAATACCCCTTATTAAGGGAGTTATTAATTTTTGAAAATTAATTCTAAAACAAACGTACTTCACTGATATGTTGAGGATGACCTATATAAATTAGGTTTATTTACCTATTTTAAACATCAACAGTAATTAATATGCAAGTTTTTGTCAGATGATAAGAAAACTAGTCTTGTAAGAAATAACCATGTTGCCAAGATTTTCGAATTAATTTCTATTTCCGAAGACTGGTTTTTACTACCCTCGTTATCAAAAAACTAGAATATTTGATAAATGATTGTTTTTAAACTATATACATTTTTGAAACTACAGATTATTAAAATTTTAGTTGATTTACGAATCTGGCTAACACGAGCGCGTCATTTCCAAGTTGGTAAAAAGTGTTGTTACGATTACTTTTAAATATTTTTTTACGATGCCACTATTTACGAATATTGAACTAACGGATATAGTGCTGGTTTATGGGGCAGCTGGAGAAAATTCTCAGCAAGCACAAATCCTGTATCGCGAACGGTTTCCAAATTGGAGAATTCCGGACTGTCGTACGTTTATTTCAACTGTTCAGCATCTAAGAGACCATGGAAAATTTGAGAGTGTCAATGCAGATCGAGGGAGAACAAGGACACAAAGAACATTGGCGGCCGAAGAAGAAATATTGGAAGCTGTTGAAAACTCAATTAAGTTGTAGAAGACTAGGTCTTGAAATTGGAGTGTCCTCATTTGTTGTGTGGCGGACACTTAAAGAACAAGGTTTACATCCTTATCACATCCAAAAAGTCCAGGCCTTATATCCAGGTGATGAAGAAAAGAGAGTGGAGTTTTGTGAATGGATGATTCAAAAATGTGTTGATATTCCTGATTTTCTAAAAATATTATTGTATACTGACGAGGCATCATTCACTCGTGATGGCGTGTTCAATATGCACAATACGCATATTTGGAGTAATGAAAATCCTCACGCCATTAGGGAAACTGGGCATCAAAGAAAATTTTCAATAAATGTTTGGGCTGGCATAATAGATCAGTATTTAATCGGGCCTTATGTTCTCCCGAACAGATTAAATGGGCCAGGATATCTCCACTTTTTAGAAGATATTTTGCCAGTACTCCTAGAAGAGATACCGTTACAATTAAGGCAACGGATGTGGTACCTACTAGATGGCGCTCCTCCTCACTTTGATTTAAACGTACGGCAGTTTTTGAACATTAGATTTCCTCAAAAGCGGATAGGCAGAAATGGACCTACTAAGTGGCCTCCGAGATCTCCGGACTTAAATCCATGCGATTTCTTTTTGTGGGGTCACATGAAACAACTGGTTTATAATGAACCTATTAATAGTGTTGAACAATTAACCAATAAAGTTAATGCGGTAGCCGAGGAACTACGACAAAATCCAAGACTAATTTCTAATGTTCAAAGTTCTTTGGAAAGACGATTGCAAGTGTGTGTAAATAATAATGGACGGCATTTTGAACAATTACTGTAATAAACTTTATTTTGAATTAATTGGTTTTGCTACGGCAACAGTGCAATTTCTATGGGTAAGTTCAATTTCGATTTATTTTACTTCTTTAAATATGGAAACTAGTAGGTTGGAAAAGGGGACTTTTCCCCAATATTTAAATTTTTGAATTTGAAGTTAAAATTGGTGCCAATCGTTTTTGGTCATTACATACAATTCCCCATTTTAATATGTACGTGTATTTCAATAACACCCTGTATTTCCACGAATAAAAATAGCTGAAATGCCGAAAAAGATATCTGTCAAAGTCTCTCAATATTTAATATTGTATAGTTCTCGATGTACTCGTTTGAAATTCTTATTGGCAAAATTGGATCCTATGACTAGTTTTCCATATACAGGGTAGCTGTTAAAGATGGAACCAAACCTATAGTGCTTAAACGGTTCAACATACAAAACCCAAAATTTCAGAATTTCAACTAAATATATTTGCGCATATTTTAGCCCAAAATTTTTTTTTATAATGACAAAATTTTAAGCATGGCCGCAATCTTGATTTTTTTAAATATCAACATAGGTCATGTGATATACCATTTGAAAGGGTTTAACATCCTGATTACAAAAATGTATCACACATGGGGTCTAAACACAAATGCACAGCCTCCTATGCTCCCTATTAATAATATCCTTTTTGTTGTGTTTAGACCCTATGTGTGATACATTTTTGTAATCAGGGTGTTAAACTCTTTCAAATGGTATATCACATGACCTATGTTACTACCTAAAAAAATCAAGATGGCGGCCATGCTTAAAATTTTGTCATTATAAAAAAAATAATTTTTGGGCTAAAATATGCGCAAATATATTTAGTTGAAATTCTAAAATTTTGGGATTTGTATGTTGAACCGTTTAAGTACTATAGGTTTGGTTCCATCTTTAACAGCTACCATGAATTTTAAACAATGAACATATACCTACTGACATAAGTAGATATGTTTAAGAGAAATACTGTATATTAAATAGTGGACACACTGTATTGAATTGGTAATATACTGCCTTGTACTACATAAAGTTATTGCCAAAGACTAGAAAATTAATTGCTTGTGAGTTCTTTATTGAAAAAGATCAATATAGATACATTAATATTTTAAATATGCAATAACAAACTTTGTCAAACTGACACAGTTTTTGGAATAACTAAAAATTAGAAACATTTAATGGATTCTCATTCAGTGAGCAGTTTTAAAAAATTTACTTCTGAACTGTTTCCTTAATTTTATGTTCATTATGAGTTTTCTTCTATGAAATCCATTGAATTCTAGTTAGATACACGATGAAGTATAAGTGTCATATCTACTTATTGCTACACGTTCATATAAGAAACAGTCCTTTCATGTTATTGGTTGTTAAAATATTTAACATAGATCGAGTAGCTATCATTTGTTAATATTATTTTCACGAAAGAATTGATGGGTGTCCAGTTCAAACATGCCAAGTGCCAAAATTTGTAATTTTGAGATTTGTGGGTACAAACATTCTATATAGGTACCATTAGTTATGTCCCACAAAAATGCCAAGTGCCAAGCTTGTCTAGAAAATTTGCAAAAAAATTGTGTTGATGGTGGCAGCTATAAATCACATGATTCGTTTCAGTATAAATAAATAAGTGCCACAGACTGTTTCTTCATGCCAAGACATAAACTCGAAGCTTCTATATCCAGAAAGCAAAATATCAGAAAACAAAAAAAAATCATTGAGGTCAATGGTAGATTTTCTTGAAAAAGAATAACATAACAGAAAGTTCTATCGAAACTTGTTATTAAAATAAGTTTAAAATATATGTTTACTTTTTGCTAGTTTGATGTTGAATATAGTTCTTTTTAGTTTGAATGAGTTTTAGTTTTTATTGATTAGTATCTTCTCTACTTTAAATAAATATGATTTATTTTCCATGAGATAATACAATTATATGGGATTCGTCAAAATACAAGTAAATAAAAATATGATAAAAGCATAGAACTAGAAAATAGAATAACATATAGGTAGAACTTATACATCAAATTCGTAAAATTCAGGGAGACCATAAAAACATTCTAGTAAAAAACCTTTCAATTTTCTTTTAAAAATAAAAAATGAATTATTTTCCTTTATTACAAGAGGAAGTCTATTGAATAATTTTGCTCATTAGATGTTACCTTGAGTCGTGCATAAGGTATATGTAGTTCATCAGCCTGTCTGGTTTCATACCTGTGTACATTTCTATTAGTTAGAAAAATTTCTTTGTGTTTGTAAGTGTATAGACACATTTCAAAAATAAAAATACAACAAAGGGGTAATATGCCATATTCCTTGAAGTATGATCAACAAGAGCCTCTTTGTGAGATCCTAGCAATGCTTCTCAGGACCCTTTTTTGAGCAAGAAAGACATTTTTAGAGTAGGTTGAATTTCCCCATAAGCATACACCGTATCTTAGACGTGAGTCTAATTTTGCAAAATATATACCATAACTAATTGACGAACTTGAAGTATAGACCGTAAATTCACAAAAAGAAACAATTTTTTTGACCAGTCCTCTACAATGGTCGTTACAATCAAGGTATTGGTCTATTTGGATTCCTAGAAAGCGAATGCTATCATTCCTATTAAGGTAGTTCACTCGTAAAACGGTTATTCTTAAGAATTCAATAAAATTAAAATATAAGGTTAATGAAAGTGTCGTTTACGTAACTAAAAAAATGAAATTTTTTGACCGTCTGTGAAACGAGATATTAACAATCAAAATGTGCATAATTAACTCTCTTGAAGCCTGTCATGTACATAAGCAATACATTTATTTCAAGATATCTCGAAAACGGTTATTACCATATTTTTTAAAAACTAATATAACGTAAATGAAGTAGTTATAAAATTTTCTAACAAATCGCTGAATTTTTTGACCGTTTGAGTAAAAAAATATAGATTTTTAAAATAAAAAACAACTTGGCAACGTTGTAATAACTACACGTAAGAAAATAACACTCGATCAGCTAAGAGATTGTTATCGCCTCGCGACGTGTTCTTGAACAATTAATTCGTCCACTGTCTTTGAAAACTGGAATCGGCGATTCTGTTTGAACCAAAACAAACCATTAAAATTAGTATGAGGAAGTCACAAATTTCTATAGCATACCGTTCATATATTTGCGAGGTTGCTGGATGGATTTTATTAAAATTATAACATCCATATGCGATATTTTTATGTACTGTCGCGAGTGAACTACCTTAATAAGAACGACATTTTCAAAAATAATCTCTAAGGGCTCAACGTTATGTTGCCTGTTATGAAATCTAAGTACCTCAGTCTTATTAGCATTAAAAAATAAATCAAGGCTATTAAAGTAACTTGACATTTTTTGAGCGATATTGGAGCTCTCTCTGTTTATAGTCCAGTAACTGAAGGGACCAACCTGTCATTGAGTCGGTCCAGATTTCCGTTGTGGCTCAACTCTTAGGTCTCGGCGGTCGCTTCCAAGATCGAAAACTTTTACCAACTCTGCTGCGTTGGGAAGGGCCCAAAATGGGCCCTAAAACTGGCTTCCCGCCAATATCTTCCACAATATGCAAATTAGAGAATTTTTGTTTAGATAAAAAAGAAAGATCTTATCATTATCTACAAAAATGGTCCCTATCATTTTTGTCGGGAACTCGACAGGTTTCGAGATAACAGCAATCAAAAGTCCCTCGTTCAGCCCCTGCTTTATCTCTATAGCAATGCTCTGATTAGCTTATAAACGGGTAGACAAATTGTTTCAGAACTCGGTCAAAAATTGATATTTTTCGATGATTCAAAGTTCATTACAATGGGAAAACCCATAGGTATCGATCCATGTGCCTTGAAGCCCGTTATTTCCTGTCAAGAACATTGAAAAAGGGGTCAAAGTTGCGTTTTCCTACTATTTTGGACCACTTTATAGTAATTAATTCATATTTTTTTTTTTTAATAGTTTTTTATCCCATTTTTGTTTTAAATGGGATCTTGAGATGTCTCGAATGATCTCAGAAATTTTTTTCCAGTATCTTCTTGGCGTTTTAAAACAAAATTGATTTTTTATTTGCATTTTTCATACGTTTTCGGAGTTCTAGAAATCTTTGAAACAAGCAGTAATTAAAAACTCGTATTTCATTATATTGTTATTCAATGAACACCATTTTAAAGCTTAGAGTGTCTACTTTTTGAATGTATTTTTTTTTTTTTAATAAAGTTGCTCCATTTTCCAGAAATCGGGAAAATTGATCACACCGGGGAAAACCGGACTTTTTTTTTAAATACTTCTTGTTCCCCGCTGTTCATTTTTTGAACATTAATACCCAGACCGAAGTGAAGCTGATATTCTCACCTTTCCATTTCTATCAATTGATCCCCGTATGTGAGCGTGGTTCTTAACTGTTTGTTAGAATTATCTCCCCCATTTTTACGCTCTCCGCCTGAGATCTATGATATTCCATCATAACCTAACCACGTGTACCCACGCGCTCACCTTAATCGTCTGCTTTTGTTGGTATACAATCTCTGTTGTTTTTGGAGTCGTTATTGTCGGTTGTTATATATTTCTTTCGTATATTTAAAGAAAATTCACAATTCTGGGTTCGAGTAGTACAATAATAAACAATGATTACTTTTCTTTTCTATATTTATCACAAATGAGTTAAAGTGGAATATATATCAAAGATTTGGGGTTCAGGTAAGTCTTTTGTTGCTATATCTATCATATAATTAATTCTACACTAATGTTATTCTTTTTTTTTAGGTTAAAACAAACAAAAAATAGAGAGCCGTTTAGATACAGAGCTTTTAGCGGCACTTCTAGAAGATTTGCTTTGCAAAGTGAGTGTAAATTACCAGAAAAATTTATGAAATTAAGTGTAAAAGGGATTCGGCCCCCCTGCAAGAAGAATTGTTCATGTTTGAAAGCCGGACTGAAATGCTCGCCTATCTGTGGTTCGTGTCAGTCGACACAGTGTTTTAATTATAACAAAAATGAAGGTATTTTCCCGGAAGAATTAGAGATGGATCGAGACCCAGAAGGGGTTGAAGGGAAGGAGGATGAAATAGCTGTCGAGACAGCAACACAGGGGTTGGAAAAACAGGGGGAAGGGACGCGTGGAGGAGGGGAAGGAATAAAGCAAGACGATGAAGAGTATGATTCTGATGACATTGAATGGTTTAACGTATGATAAATTATAAGCATTGCTATGTATTTCGTATTTTCAACGTTTTTCGTAATAAAAGAAATTTTTCAGAAACTTTTTTATTTTTCTGAAACCTTGGACCTATATTGTTCCGATAGAAGTTGGCGAAAATTTTGCAAAAGACGCAGAAAATATAAAAGGTCTTCTCGGGTCAATATTCATCACACTCTAAAACTAATAACCCACTATTAGGCAAAGCGCCGGGATTTGAGACTGCCATATGAAAAAAACATTTTTTTCCACTTTTCTATTAAATTTTGCAACGCAAATTACACAGAACATTCGGCAATATAGATGAGATACCCCAAGCGCTACTTTACAGAAAAAATCCCGTAGAATCCGCCAATAATTGTCGAAAGATCGATTGGTGCCCGGATTTCCATTCATAGGCCCCATAATTTAGTGAGCAGAGGTATGCCGCTGGCGCCATCTACAATTGGTCTCCAAACTCCAAAACATGAAAATCAATGTATTCCCAACTCCCTAGAGAGGAAATTCAGTGAGACACTAACATTTCTATTCATTGCAAAAATTCGGGCTTTTTCGAAGGCCGTTTCTGCAAAAAATATTCGTCTTGCGAAAAAAATGGTAGGGACCATTTTTTTAGATAATGATACGATCTTCATTTTTTATCTAAACAAAAATTGTCTAATTTGTATATTTTGGCAGATATTAGCGGGAAACCATTTTTTCGGACTTTAGGGGCCATTTTGAGCCCTTTCCGACCCAGCAGTGTTGGTAAAAGTTTTCACCCTTGAAAGCAACCGTCACGACCTAAGAATTGAGCCACAAAGGAAATCTGGACCGACTTAATGACAGCTTTGCATATTTTCAAGTCTTCAGTTACTGAACTAGTTCTACAATTGATTCGATGAAAATGTGTCTGAATTTCTCTATTTTATAGTTTCACTAAAATTTCTCCGATTTATATTTATATCAATTTTTTTTAAATTTCTCAGACTATTTTACATTTTTATCAAAATTAGTTTTCCCACTAAATTTGAAGGTTTATATTCTAATCGAGGCCGAGAGTAGAAGATTGTTTATAAATCAGCGTTTTAAAGAACATTTTACAATTTAACTTTCCTACCTTAGTGCATATTTTTCATTCGAGGGCAAAATTTACACGATTAAAAATCAATGTTTTAAAGAAAATTTCGCATATTAACTTTCCCACCAGAGTAGAAAGTTAACATTCCAATCGAAGATGAGTGCCAAAAAATCGAAGTTTTAAGAAAATTTTGCAATTTAATTTTCCCACATGAGGGCAAATTTTTCAATCGAGACGAAGATCCCCCGATGAAAAATGCATATCAATAAACTTTTTTACATTTTTATCAAAATTTCTCAGACTATTTTACTTTTTTTTTTAATTGCTCGGACTATTTTACATGTTTATCAAAATTTCTGGGAATTATTTTTATTTCTTTAAAAGAAAATTGTTTTTAACGTCTTTCCGATCTTTTAAGTAGATTTCCCGGAATGGAAAGTTTATATTCGCCGAAGCCGAGGGTAAAAATCTCAGGTAGCAAAAAATTGTGTATAAATCGTCGTTTTAAAGAAAATTTTGCAATTTAACTTTCCCACCTGTGGACAAATTTTTCAATCGAGGCGAAGCCGGGGGCAAAAATATATCTGAATATTTTACATTTATTTGTTTAATTTCGTGGACGATTTTTCATTTTTATGAAAATTTATCTAACTGATTTACATTTTTATCAAAATTTCTCAGACTATTTTATTTTTTTTTAAATTGCTCGGACTATTTCTGGGAATGATTTTTATTTATTTAAAAGAAATTTGTTGTTTTTAACATCTTTCCGGTCTTTTAAGTAGATTTCCCCGAATGGAAAGTTTTTATTCGCCGAAGTCGAGGGTGAAAGTCTAGTAAAAAATTGTGGTTTAAAGAAAATTTTGCAATAGAATTTAATTTTCTCACCCTACACGATTAAAAAACTGTAGATAAATCTCAGTCGATATTTTTAGAAAATTTCATATATTTTCTTTTCCACCCTAGTGAAAAGTTAACATTCGAACCGAAGCTGAGAGCAAAAATCGCTTGGATCAAAAAATGAATATAAATCGACGTTTTAAAGAAAAATTTGCAGTCAACTTTCCCATCCGAGTGCATATTTTTTATTCGAGATATATCTCAATCGATGCTTTCAAGAAAATTTCTCATATTAAATTTCCCACCAGAGTGTAAAATTTACATTCGAACCTTAAAAAATTATAAAAATCGACGTTTTATAGAAAATTTTGCAATCAGTTTTCCCACCCTAGTGCATATTTCTCAATCGAGGCGAAGCCGAGGACAAACATAACACAAATAAAAATGTATATAGAAGTTTCATAATTTTGTTTTTCTATCCGAATGTACAGTTTTCATTAGAGGCGAAGGCATAAATAAATAGAAACAATATTTATTATGACATTTATTTACAATATAAACAAATAAATAGTTAAAATTGTTACATAGGTAGTTGAAAAAATATATATGTATATCGTCTTTATGAGTCATGAATACCTATCAGGATGCAAAATATAAAATATTAACAAAATAGCCCTCAAATTACTTTTATTATACATATATTTCTTTTTTAATAAAAATAGGTACTTAAAACTCTGACATGGCACGTTTACTGCAAAAAATCGGTGGCACGAAAATAGTCTTATGGCGAGACAACCTAAAAAACAAATATTTATATTTTACATTTAAATATCCAGAAAAAAATTACTTTTCTATTTTTTTAATTTTCTAATTTTTTATTCAATTTTACCGGACTATTTTAACCGTTTTTATAAAAATCTTCCAGACTAAAGTTCAAACAAAATATTCCTGAACAATGATCTCTTTAAATAACAGAAACAGTATTCATTTTTTAAAAAGTAACTTTTCTTGTACTATTTTCCTTTATTTAATTATTTTATTCTATCTGTCAACTTGTATATGCTTGTTGTTTTTAACAATCTTTTTACAAAACTGTCAAAATTGTTATGTCCATAAAAACGAAACTTACTATCAACAAATGGCCACTCTTGTCTTTATGGATTTTGGGGACATCCCCGTGTTGTATATCGATCGTCCCGTGCTTTCCTTTCATATTATGCTCGATCCTACGACAAAATATAAAATTAAATTTTTTTTTATTTACAAGACAAATATCTAAAATTCTTACGATGACTTGTCCACTATTCTTAAAATCTTCTCGTCCTTCACTGTATCTATTATCATAGTAAGGGCTTCAATAAGGTTTGGAACTTGCAATATTAAGTCTCCCTGCAAATAAAAACACTATTATTTATTACCTTATTGAATGTCTTGAATTATTATACATTTTTATCAAAAGTATTAGAACTGGGTTAATATTTATCAAAATTTCTCCCACTAATTTACTTTCTTTCATTTTAACAATTTCTCGGAATATTTTACTTTGTTATAAACATTTCTCGAACAATTTAACATCTTTCAAAAATTTCTCGGGCTATTTTATTATAAACATTTCTCATATTATTTTAATTTTTTATTTCTAGGACTATTTTATATTTTTAATAAAATTTCTTGGACTGATACATTTTTTATTGAAAATTCTTGGACTAATTTATATTTTTAACACAATTTCTAGAAATATTTTACATTTTCTAAAATATTTCGGGCGCTGTATTCCATTTATCAAAAATTTCTCGGACCATTTTACATTTTTATGAACATTTCTCTGACCGATTTACATTTTTATAAATATTTATTATTTATTAAAAATTGTTGAGAATGATATTTCTTGAACAATTTTACATTTTTATCAAACTTTTTGAAACTGATTTACATTTTTATCAAAATTCTCGAAATATTTATCGTGTTATGAACATTTCTCGGAATATTTTTCATTTTTCAAAAATTTCTCAGACCGATTAATATTTTTATCAAAATTTCTCAGACAATTTTGTTTTTAAATTTCGGAATATTTTACATCTTTAAAAAAAGTTTCAGTTCATTTTACATATTTATGAAAGTATCCGACTGATTTATATAGTTATCCATATTTCTCGGACTGTTTTTTATTTTTTACATTTTTTTCTATTTTACATTTTTATCAAAATTTCTGCGACTAATTTTGTACATATTTATCAAAATGTATGTGACTGATTTTACATATTTATCAACATTCTACTATTTTACATTTTTAAAAATTCTCAAAATATTTAATGTTATTTAAAATTTCTGGGAATATTTTTCATTTTTATAAAAAAAAAAAACTTTTTAAACATCTTTTAAGTCTTGTATAGTAAATATCCCACCCGAGTGGAAATTTTATATTCCGAAGCCAAGGGCAAAAATTTCGATAGTACAAAAATTATATGTTAAACGACGTTTTAAAGAAAATGTTGTGGAAAGTTTACATTCGAACCGAAGCCGAGGGCAAAAAGAGCTAGATTAAAAAATGTAAATAAATCGACATTTTGTAATCAACTTTTCCACCCGTGGACATATTTTTCGTTCGAGGCGAAGCCGAGGGCAAAAATCACACGATTAAAAAAATCTATAAAAACGACGTTGGTATTAAAGAAAGTGTCGCATAATAACTTTCCCACCAGACTGGAAAGTTTACATTCGAACCGAAGCCGAGGGCAAAAATCGTACCCTTAAAATATGCATATAAATCGACTTTTTAACAAAAATTTGCAATTTTACTTTCCCACCCGAGTGCATATTTTCTATTCGAGGCGAAGCCGAAGCCAAAAATTACGATTAAAATGTAGATAAACCAATCAATGTTTTTAAGAACATTTCGCATATTAACTTTTTCACCTGAGTGGAAAGTTTACATTCGAACCGAAGCAGAGGGCAAAAATAGCTTGATTAAAAAATTTATATAAATCGACATTATGAAGAAAATTTTGCAATCAACTTTCCCACCCGAGGGCATATTTTTCATTCGAGGCGATGCCGAGGGCAAAAATCACACGATTAAAAATCCATAAAAACGACGTAGGTATTAAAGAACGTTTTGCATATTAACTTTCTCACCGAGTGGAAAGTTTATATTCAAACCGAAGCCGAGGGCAGAAAACGACGTTTTATAGAAAATTTTGACATCAAATTTCCCACCAGAGTGTCAAGTTTTCATTCGAACCGAAGCCGAGGGCAAAAATAGCTTGATTAAATAATGTATATAAATTGACATTATAAAGAAAATTTTGCAATTAATTTTCCCAACCGAGGGCATTTTTCATTCGAGGCGAAGCCGAGGGTAAAAATAGTACGATTATAAATAAATAAAACTCGATGTTTTAAAAAAAGTTTGTCTTCAAACCAAAGCCGAGTGCAAAAATCGACGTTTTAAAGAAAATTTTGACATCAAATTTCCCATCAGAGTGGAAAGTTTTCATTCGAACCGAAGTTGAGGGCAAAAATAGCTTGATTAAAAAATTTATATAAATCGACTTTATAAAGAAAATTATTCAATCAACTATCCCACCCGAGGGCATTTTTCATTCGAGGCGAAGCCGAGGGTAAAAATAGTACGATTATAAATAAATAAAACTCGATGTTTTAAAAAAAGTTTGTCTTCAAACCAAAGCCGGGTGCAAAAATCGACGTTTTAAAGAAAATTTTGACATCAAATTTCCCACCAGAGTGGAAAGTTTTCATTCGAACCGAAGCCGAGGGCAAAAATAGCTTGATTAAAAAATTTATATAAATCGACTTTATAAAGAAAATTTTTCAATCAACTATCCCACCCGAGGGCATTTTTCATTCGAGGCGAAGCCGAGGGTAAAAAAAAGGTACGTTTAAAAAATGCATAAAACTCCATGTTTTTCGATGTTTTAAAAAAGTTTATGTTCAAACCGAAGCCGGGTGCAAACATCGACGTTTTATAGAAAATGTTGACATCAAATTTCCCACCAGAGTGTCAAGTTTTCATTCGAACCGAAGCCGAGGGCAAAAATAGCTTGATTAAAAAATTATATAAATCAACATAAAGAAAATTTTAAAATGAACTTTCCCACCCGAGGGCATTTTTCATTCGAGGCGAAGCCGAGGGTAAAAATAGTACGATTAAAAACTGGAATTTAACTTTTCCACGGAGTAGATATTTTTAATTAGACGTACAGCCGAGTGAAAAAAACGCGCGAATAAAAAATGTTTTTAATGAAAAATTTGCAATTTAACTTTCCCACCCAAGTGCACATTTTTTAATCGAGGCGCAGTCGAGGCCAAAAAAATTACGATTAAAATGTATCAATCGATGTTTTAAAGAAAATTTGGCATATTTATTATGTCACCAAAGTGTAAATATTTGGAATTACTCAAATTATTCAAAATTACTCGGACTATTTTTCAAACTCTTTACATTTTTATAAAAATTTACCGGACTATTTTATATTTTTATTAAAATTACATACAAACCTTGTCCTTCTTTATTAGGTCCTCAGGAATCTGGACCAACAGTAGATCGTCATTTTCAGGGGTAATAATAAAGCTTAGGCTATTTAATGGGATACAATGTTTTGGTTTCAAGGAACCTTTGGTGTCCAAAAGGTGAAACTTTTGCTTGCTGATGACCATGAGACGGTCCCTCGGTTTGTATCCATGTCTGTCGAATTTGACTACATTGGAAGAATACTAAAAAAAAAAAAAAAAAATGAGAAAGCATTAAATTTCTAGACTATTTTTTTATAAATATTTCTTTTTTTTAACAACATTTCTCGGACTAATTTCATCATCGTCATCGTACGTTTTTCTCGCAAAAGACCGATATTTCAAGACAACCAGAATAGTCTAGATGCGATGATTTTTACAAAACCGTTAATGGAAGTCATAGAAAAAGTACTCACCACTTCCTTTTCTCCGTTTAGTTGCGAAGTATATAGTTCTTTGAACGGTACGCTGCCTTCAAGGACTCTTTCTTCAACGAACAAATATGGCAAACTATCTGGATAATTCTTCTTCTTACCTAAAAAACAAAAATTGCAATATAATTACTTCAATTATACACGATTTCAATATGTATTTGTAAATGTAATTTTTTTTTTGTACCTTTGAATATTCTCTCCGCCAAAACCTTAAGCTCAAGGTGTCTTTTTCTTTCGGGCGTCAGTTGCAATCTATAAATCCTAGACATGTGAGCCCCGTACATACTTTCGAGCTTCTTAGACGCCTCCCGACACACGTAAGGCGGCACTGGCCACGTCCTGCGAAGAATGTGCTTCGGTAGATTTTTCGCTAGCCTTTTCAACCACTCCACCTTAGCCATGGCCAAGAAGGATCGGTTATCATCGCTGGGGGCGTCGTTCCTAGTGATGAAGCCTTTGATGAACCTGAATAACGAAAAAAAAACATTTCTCGGACTATTTTACTTTATAATAAAAATTCCTCGGACTATTTTATTAATACATTATATTTTATTAATAATTGTTTTATTACAATATGTTTCTACTTATTAATATAAATGAGTATGTTATGTAATTTTAGTTAATTTTTATTAAATAGGAACTTAAATTTACATAAAGTAAAATTTATTGAATTATCACTATTAATTAACTAATTTTAGTACATATGTATAATTTGAATAATGAGTAAAAAAGGAGATCAAATTTTTTGGGAACTTTTCTCGGACTATTTTTTGTTTTTTTTTTTATTTTTAACTTTTTTACATATTTATCAAAATTTCTGGAACTGATTTTCATTTTCATCAAAATTTCTCTAAATATTTTACATTTTTAAAAATTTATTGGATTATTTAAATTTATTAAAAAAATTTCGGACTATTTTACATTTTGTCAAAATTTTCTAGAACGATTCCCATTTTTATGAAATATTTTGGGAATAATTTTCTTTTTTTTTTTTTTAATTTCTCTGACTATTTTACTGTTTCACCAAAATTTCTCCGATTTACATTTTTATTGACTATATTACGTTTTTTTTTTTAATTTCTTTGACTATTTTACAATTTTATCAATATTTCTCAGAATATTTTACATTTTTATGAATTTATCAAAATTTATCGACTATATTACTGTTTTTTTTTTAATTTCTCTGACTATTTATTTAACAATTTTATTAAAATTTCTCGGACTATTTTACATTTCTATGATTTTTTTTTAATTTTTGACTGTTTTACATAATTATCAAAATTTCTTGAACTGATTTACATTTTGATCAAAATTTCTCTAAATATTTTAATTTTTTAGAAATATTTTACATTTTTTAGAAATTTATTGGATTATTTTAATTTATTAAAAATTTTTCGAACTATTTTAAATTTTGTCAAAATTTCCTGGAACGATCCCCTATTTTTATGAAATATTTTCGGACTATTTTACTTTTTTTTTTTAATTTCTCGGACTATTTTACAGTTTCACTAAAATTTCTCCGATTTACATTTTTATTAAAATTTATTAACTATACCACGTTTTTTTTTTTAAATTTCTCTATTTTACATTTTGTCAAAATTTCCTGGAACGATTCCCATTTTTATGAAATATTTTCAGACTATTTCACATTTTTTTTTTTTTTAATTTTCTGACTATTTTACAATTTAATCAAAATTGCTCGGACTATTTTACATTTTTATGATTTTTTTTTTAATTTCTGACTGATTTACATATTTATCAAAATTTCTGGAAATAATTTACATTTTGATCAAAATTTCTCAAAATATTTTAATTTTTTTTTTTTAATTTCTCTGACTATTTTACAGTTTCACCACAATTTTTCTGATTTACATTTTTATCAACATTCATCGACTATATTACAGTTTTTTTTTAGTTTCTCTGACAATTTTACAATTTTATCAAAATTTCTCGGACTATTTTACATTTTTATTATTTTTATTATTTTTTTTTAATTTCTGACTGTTTTACATATTTATCAAAATTTCTGGAACTGATGTACATTTTGTTCAAAATTTCTGTTTTAATTTTTTAGAAATTTCTCTAAATATTTTACATTTTTTATAAATTTATTGGATTATTTTAATTTATTAAAAATTTCTCGGACTATTTTACATTTTTATTATTTTTTTTTTAATTTCTGACTGTTTTACATATTTATCAAAATTTCTGTAATTGATGTACATTTTGTTCAAAATTTCTCTAAATGTTTTAATTTTTTAGAAATTTCTCTGAATATTTTATATTTTTTAGAAATTTATTGGATTATTTTAATTTATTAAAAAATTTCTCGGGCGATTTTACATTTTTGTCAAAATTTCTGTAACCGATTTACATTTTGATCAAATTTTCTCAAAATATTAAAATTTTTTAGAAATTTCTTGGAATATTTTAAATTTATTAAAAATGTCTCTATTAAAAATCTATTAACTTTATCACCCGAGTATATTTTTCATAAGAGGCGAAGCCGAGGGCAAAAATTACGATCAAGATTACAGATATATCTTTTAAGAAAATTTCGGATATTAATTTTTCCACTTGTGTGGAAAGTTTCTATTTGAACCGAAACCGAGGGCAAAAATCAGTCTATTAACATGTATATACTTTCCTACGCGAATGCATATTCTTCATTCGAGGCGAAGCCGAGAGCAAAAATTATGATTAAAATGTAGACATATTTTAAGAAGATTTAGCATATTAACTTTATCACCCGAGTGGAAAGTTTATATTCGAACCGAAGCCGAGGGCAAAAATGGCAAGATTAAAAAATGTATATAAATCGATGTGTTAAAGAACATTTTGCAATTCAACTTTTTCCCGAGTGTATAAACTTTATTGGAGGCGAAGTTGAGGGAAAAAATATGATTAAAAATGTAGATATATATTGTACCCGAGTGGAAAGTATATATTCGATCCGAAGTCAAGGGCAAAAATCGCGCGAATAAAACGACGTATAAATCGACGTTCGAAAGAAATTTTTGCAATTTAATTTTCACACTCGAGTGCATATTTTTTATTCGAGGCGAATCCGAGGACAAAAATTACAATTAAAAATATAGATATTTAAACAGATGTTTTTAAGAAAAATTTCAATATTAATTTACTTACCGGAGTATAAAGTTTATATTAGAACCGAAGCAGAGGACAAAAATTGATTAAAAGATGTCTATAAATCGTCGTTCTAAAAAAAACATTCTTCAATTTAATTTTATCACTAGTGTGCATATTTTTTATTAGAGGCGAAGCCGAGGGCAAAAATCTTCCTAAAAAAATTTTGCAAGAAAATTTCGCATTTTAACTTTCCCACCCGAGCGAAAAGTTTTCGTTCGAGCCGAATCCGAGGGCGAAAATAGCAAAAGAACTTTACCTCCTGATTGTGAACGCGGCTTTCCTACGTCGATCAGCTTCTCTTTTGGCCAGAACTCGTCTTATGTGTTTCTGCACGACGATGGCCGATTCTCTCATCTTCAGGTATTTTTTTCTTTGGACCATGCCCTTCCAGCGCGATTGGATGATGGCGGCGATTTCGTGTTTTTTCAATTGGAAGGCGTCTTCGGTGCTGAACAGGGTTTTCGGGTGTCTGATGAATATTTTCGTCCTTAAAACGAATGTTTTTTTAATAAGGGTTTAAAAAATGTAATAATAATAATCTTTATTATTTCAAAAAAAATTGACAAAATATTTATATCAATTTAAAATGGTATCAAAAACTAATACAATAAGGTTCTAATTCTTTAATTAGTTATTTTAGTTTCTTGTTTATTCTTTTTTTAATTTCTTTTAATTTCAATTTCTTTGAATTTCTTTTAATTTCTTTTAATTTCTTTTAATTTCTTTTAATTTCTTTTAATTTCTTTTAATTTCTTTTAATTTCTTTTAATTTCTTTTAATTTCTTTTAATTTCTTTTAATTTCTTTTAATTTCTTTTAATTTCTTTTAATTTCTTTTAATTTCTTTTAATTTCTTTTAATTTCTTTTAATTTCTTTTAATTTCTTTTAATTTCTTTTAATTTCTTTTAATTTCTTTTAATTTCTTTTAATTTCTTTTAATTTCTTTTAATTTCTTTTAATTTCTTTTAATTTCTTTTAATTTCTTTTAATTTCTTATAATTTCTTATATCTTTTAATTTTTTTTATTATTATTTTTTTTTATTTTTTTTTTTTTTCAAAATTAGCAAAATATATTGCTCGTACTTTCCCATTTGGTATTCATCCTCGGTGAATTTCAAAGCGGCGATCAGCTTCGTAACGCCATCTTTGGCATCACCGTGGTAATTCGGCCATGTTTCCTTGCACAGACACTTGTATCTTTTCAAGAATCGCTGGTAGTCTCTGCGATAGGCGAAGCCGGCTCTGCGAACCCGCAAATTTTCCATCAGACCCAAGTAGGTCACCTGGTGGCTGACGAGTTCAAAATCAAACACATCTGAAAAAAATATAATGATAAAAAGTCTTTATTTCAAGATTCAGCTATTCCGCGATACTCAGATAGTATATTTAATGTTGTAGTAATTAAAACTAATTTTAATTTTCAACAGCATCGTTTTTCTATACCGTTACCCTTGAAAATTAACTTATTGTATGTAAGTATATTACCTGATCTTTTAGAGTCGTTGGGTTTAATGCATCTGATATAAGATGGTTCCTTGTCCTTGAGGATGTTCATCAAGTTGTTCACGGAGTATTTGAATTGCGTAATGGCCGTCTCCGGTCTTTTCTTGCTCTGCTGTTCCGATTCCAAAAATACCGATTGGAGAATACCGTTTTTCGATCTGATCATGGCTTCTCGCAAATCTCTAAACAGCAAATCGTTGTTTTTATCGATGAACGATTTAACGTTGTAGGTTACGGCGCCTGCGTAGTGAATAAGGCGGAATTCCTGAAATTAGAATCAGTTATAATAAATTAGAATAAATTACAATCAATTATAAACAATTAAAATGAATTAGAATCAATTAGAATCAATTATAATCAATTAAAATCAATTAGAATCAATTAGAATCAATTAGAATCAATTAGAATCAATTATAATCAATTGCAATCAATTAGAATCAATTAGAAACAATTTGAATCAATTGGAATCAATTGGAATCAATTGGAATCAATTGGAATCAATTAGAATCCATTAGAATTAATTATAATCTATTAGAATTAAGAATCTAATTAATAAGAATCTAATGAGAATAAGAATCAGTAAGAAAATTAAAAAAGGAAAACCTGAAAACGAAGTACAGACATTCATGCCTTTCCAATCGTGTATTTAATAGGTATATAAAATGATCTCAGTGACGCCACAACTGTTAACAATTCGATAAAAATCGATAATTAACATATCTTTTAGTACTTACATCTCGTCCCATGATCTTTTGTAGCTTTATGTCAGCCTTTTTGTGGCTAATATAATGGGCGTGGTAATCCAAATATTTGTCCAATTTGGCCAATAGTGTAATGTCATTTGGATCGCCAGGCCTGAGACATTCGTCGTCCATATAAGCGATCAGTCCTAAAACAAAGTACAAATTTGGCAACTGATGATTTTTAAAAATCACTGGGAACTACAAATTGTCCAAAAAAGGAAAAAACATTCAATCAAAATAGGTAAAAAATGCTAATACTTTGCTCACCTTTGTGTTTCTCTTCAATTAAATCACAGATAATTTTGTTGTCGAAGTACTCGACGTGTTGCCACTTGATACCCTCTTTCTCGTATTCGTCTTGTTCTGACTTCAATGTAAGATCGATAAAAAGTTGCTGAAGTTTTTCGTTGCAAAAATTGATGCACAATTGTTCAAAACTAAGGAAAAATTATGATATAAATATTATAAAGACCCGTAAAAAGAAGAATCGAATAAAAATCAAATAAGAATCAAATAATTAATAAGAATCTAATAATGAGAATCTAAGAATCTAATAATAAGAATCTAATAATAAGAAATAAGAATCAAATAAGAATCAAATAAGAATCAAATAAGAATCAAATAAGAATCAAATAAGAATCAAATAAGAATCAAATAAGAATCAAATAAGAATCAAATAAGAATCAAATAAGAATCAAATAAGAATCAAATAAGAATCAAATAAGAATCAAATAAGAATAAAATAAGAATCGAATCAAATAAGAATCGAATCAAATAAGAATCAAATAAGAATCAAATGAGAATCAAATGAGAATCAAATGAGAATCAAATGAGAATTAAATGAGAATCAAATGAGAATCAAATGAGAATCAAATGAGAATCAAATGAGAATCAAATAAGAATCAAATGAGAATTAAATGAAAATCAAATGAGAATTAAATAAGAATCAAATCTAACAACTCGCCTGTTCCTTTCGAAAATTTCGAATCCATAAATATCCAAGATGCCCATAACAACGTTCCTCCTGTTATCTTTAGGTTGCAAGGATTTGTTGATTTTCTTCACCAACCAAGTGAATACTCTGTCATATACGGCCTTGGCCAAAGCATCTCTCGCGTAAACGGACAAATCTCTATTTAACGGAGTCGTTAACTCTTCGTTGTTAGTTTTGATGGTTCGTTCGAGAAGCGCTTGTTTAAGAAGGTTTTTATCACAGTTTAGGAGCTGAAAAGATATAGTATAGTTTTCTTGGGATTTAATTTTAAAAATACTGTGATTTAAGTTGCGTATGACGCCTTTAATTCGAAGATTTTGTCGGGCGCCAGTTTTTATTTTCCTATTTTGCTCCAATTTCGTTTTCTATTTTTCGTATACCTACTATTAGTTGGTACGCAACAGAAAATATATTTATTTCGGGCTTATATATCGTAATTTATCTTTTGGTATTTTATTTTAAATTAGTTCACTGACCTTGCTGACATTTTCGACCATTTCCGGTTTGGCTATAAAGGAAACGCCCTCTTCTTCGGTAAATCCGATGTTTCCCATATGCAAGATGGCCGAAATGATGGCGAACAAGTCCATTTGTTCGTTTTCGGTAAAATCTAAAGTCGATAAGGCTTTTTTAACCTCCTTAAAGTCCTTTTCATCGTTTATACCGGAACTTCCGTTTTGTTGCTGAAAATTAGAACGTGCGCCACTGTTTCATTCGTATTTTGGCAGTTTTTAAAGCAATGATATGGTAATTTAAGGTTGCGACATGAAATACACGTTATATTAACGATGACGTAATTTGTGTTCCACTGACAATAACAGTGACAGATGACTTGTAAAAAATAGAGGTTATAGATATTAATTTTATTTTTATTAATTTTAAGATTGTAATAAGAATCTAACAATAGGAATCTAATAAAAATCAAGTCTATTTTCAAATCAAAACTAATTATAAATTACCTATTTCTTAATGTTGACATAAGTAAAATTGGTTTAAAACTACCTAACCTCGTTTAAAAGTAAAAGTAGGCTTCTTTATTATTTTACTCACCCCACTTGAAAGATAGTAATACGAAGACAAGCTTCTTTTAAGATCCAACTTATTCAACTCATCCTCATTGGCTCCGGCCAACAATTGGTAGAATATATGGAAGTTTCTTTCACCCGGTGTCTGACTTATAACCCTAGACTTCTCTAACAAGTAATTCAGAATGTTTCCGCCCACTGGATTACCCTCGAAATTGAACTGTATGTCCATGTATTTTCCGAATCGACTGGAATTGTCGTTTCTGTTCGTTTTGGCGTTACCAAATGCCTCCAAAATGGGATTGGAAAATATTAATTTGTCTTTGCATTTTTCCACTTCGCCTCTGTGATCGGTCACTTCCGCTATGTATTGAAGGACTTTTTTGGAGGCTTCTGTCTTTCCGGAACCCGATTCGCCTAAATATTTAACAAAAATAAATACATTTAAATTAGTTTTCTATTTGAACTACCCTCGTATGTGAAAAATTGGCGTAAATTTAGTACAAAAAAGATGTAAAAGATGGCAGTACTGGGGGCGAAAAAATATATTATTCAATTACCTGAAATTAGAATGCATTGTTCACGATTTTCATCTTTAAGAGAAGTATAAGCGGTGTTTGTAATAGCAAATCTAAAAAATAAAAATATAATTTTTAAACTTTTAAAAAAAGTGATTGATACATCTTGATAAAACTAGTAGTTATGCAATCCGTATTACAAGTGTATTTTGTATTGCATAACATCTAACAAATTAAACTAACTTTGTTTAAACAATATCGTTAATTACTTACATATGTGGTGGTACCTCAAAAAAATGCTTATTATGGTACTCCTTTACAGATTTCTTGTCATAAATATTTAGTTCCATGTAAGGATTTACAGATATAAGTACTGGGCCAATGTAAGTCTGAAAAAACGTGTAAATAGACAAAATGCACCGAATTATTATCAGTTATAAAATTTTGAAGAATATTTAATAATATACAATTCATTTTGTGGGTATAGTGTCCTAATTATATGCTGTTTTTCTAATTTTTTATTATTTAGATCACTACTTGGTAGGCAACACATATTACAATTTGAAAGTAGAGGTGGACATTCTTGGATAAAACAGTTCTATGTATTTTTAGAAGGTAATGAAGCGTATTGGCTTTGCTGGATTACTTAACAATAAACAATATTTCAGTATAAGTTTTTATTCTAATTACAATATTTATTTAATAGTATTTTCAATTAATTAACGATAATTAGCCAGTTTTTTTCGTAACACTTTTGTTTTACTTAATTATCCTCCACCTCTACTAATTTTGTCCAGATGATAGTGTCCGTTAAGTTTTGCAAAATGATTTTCAAATTTTGTTCACAAAATAAGAATTTGTTCCAAGTTTTTTGTACATATTTTTACAAAATGATAAACAAAAATATAGTTTTATAAATAATAAATGTGTAGTTGAACGTGAAATTGCCGTAAAATGCTTCATTTAAGTAAGTCAGTTTAATTCGTAATTTTTCAATTTAAAATGTTATATTTTCGTTATTATTGCAAGCCAAGTAACTGTAATAGGTATTTAAGTGAAATGTCAACATACCACATATCTATAATGTTGGAATGTAATGAATATATTTATGCAATATTTAATCCTTATTTCATTGTTTATAAATTTAATTTTTCAAGATTGTATATAGGTTATTTTTATTATATATATCGTTGTTTTTTTTGGTATGTAGGTACTTACATAGATGACATGTTCCTTGAATCGTTTTTGCAAGTTGTCGACAAAGACATCTTGATTATTAAAATCTTCCAGTAAAACTGCATCCTGAACCCCTACTCTATCCCTATCGTGCAGCTGGTGTTCCATAATTTATCTAGAAATAAAATAAAAACACTGTAATCCACGGTACAATTTCATTCTGTCCATATAAGCTGATGAAGTTCTATGGAAAGATACCGATGCGCATATGCTTTATAATAAAATTACTATAGGGGTATATAACCAGCAAAGGGTTATGTACCGGGTGGGTCAATAAGACTGGCTTTCGGTGCATTAATTTGATGTTATTGTAGAATATTATCTATGATTTGTGTGTAGTTGTTATCTTTAGGAATCTAAGCAATACAATCTTGTATTCTATAGGAAATTTCTTTCTATTTTTGTATGCCTTTGAGAAATAACAGAGACAACTTCAAATGTAAGGAACTATCTATCATATAACTTTCGAAAATATTACAAAACAATGCTTATTTCCTATTCTGTCTCAAACTGCTTATTTATAAAATATAAACGTTCGTTGTAAATTTATTATAATGTATGATAGCATAATATGAATAAAGAAATTGCGAGTATTATGACATCATCGAAGTTAATGTAGTAACAACAGATGTCTGCGTTAGAATTAGAAATTAAATGAGGTTGTTCCTTCCGTATTTTGACCCTGGATTTTATTATAATAAAAAATGTGCTGGTTTTATAGTATTAAAAGTTTCTCTTGAGAAATTAGATGGTTAAATATTAAAAAAAAGGAAATTTAATCCGTTTATAATTATTATTCACTAGTTTAATGTATCGTATAATGTTATTACATCAACTCATATACTTAATGATATGGTAATTTCTTAAAAAGGAATAAATATAGAAAAAACCAATAAAGGATCCCTCACTCTCCTTATACCTTGTACCCTACAGTGGCGACCGTTTTTTCTGAACTTTATAACCAAAAGTGATAATGGGTCCAACAACTCAATCCTATGGTTAGTTCCCAGTTTTTGGAATTTTTATTTTCCAACTTATGAGCTAGAGTGAATTTCTGTTACATACACACGTTAGCTAGACATGTTTTAGTAATTCATTAGTATGTACAACTAAAAATATTTTTATGTACAGGGTGATTCACAAATGTATGACGGTAGTTTTCTGTAAAATCTCATTAATTCTTTTGTGACGTCAGGGAAGCATATATTTTTAAAAAGTACGTTTCAATAAGGTGTTTTGGCGACAAAATATTACACAGTATAGATTTCTTATTATTATTTTCATAATTAATTTAAAACCCTGTACTTATGATCTGTATAATCTAAAACACCTGAACTGCGGAAACTAGTCTGCGAAATACAGGTAGCGTATGGAAAAGAAAAAACGACCAGATACATTTTGAAATTCAATTTTTTTTAATAATGAAATATGTAAAGTCATACCTATTTATTTGATTATTATTGCAAAATTTTAGATTCAATATATTTTTGTTTATTTAAAACTTCGCTTCTCTGTTTTAACACAGAGTTAATTCTTATTATAGGTGTCGGCATGGGCGTCGTTACACAATTTTATAGGGAGGGGCAAAATTTTGAAAAAATGTAGAATGTTTATTTGTTGGAAAACAAAGAAAATAAAACATGATGAATTTAATTATCCTGTGACGTCATAGCTTCCGGTTTTTCCAGAAATAACAGAAAATCGCAATTTATTTTTTATTTTTAAATGAAAACCATTTTTCTTATTGAAAATTTGAATTTCTGGGACATTTCTGTAAAAGAAGCGTGTATTGAAAATTTTCTGTCAGTAAAATATTAAAAAAAAATATTTGCCAATACGATGGTCATTTTGACAGCTGACAGAAAATTTTCCATGATTCTTATCCATAAATGTAACTAAAATTCAAATTTTCAATAAAAACGGAGGGTTTCTATTTAAAAATTAAAAATAAATTGAGATTTTCTGTTATTTCCGATAAAACAGTAGTAAGCCATAAAGTCACACACCAATTGAATCCAGTATATGAGAGTATTTGTCCCAAGCTTTTAAACAAATAAGTTTTCATTCCAATATCTTAATTAACAACGAAGATAAAAGCAGATGGAACTATTAAACAGTTTGCTAATAATAAAAATGCTTAGAAACGCCACTGGTATACGGTAAATCGGTTTCAATGGGAATTTTGAAGCCTAAAAAGATTTTATAAAGTTCGTACATTCTATATGTTTTTCCATAAACGAATTAATAGTAACATTTAGAAAAAAATATTATCCAATATGGCGGCCATTTTGACAGCTGACAGAAAATTGTCAATATACGATTATTATACAAAAAATATCCCAGAAATTTAAATTTACAATAAAAAAGAGGGTTTCCTTTTAAAATTAAAAAAATTCGATCTTCTGTTATTTCCGGAAAAACCGGAAGTAAGCCATGACGTCACAGAACAATTGAATCCATCATAAGAAAGTATTTGTTCTAGTCTTTCAAACAAAACAAAATTATTCCGATATCTCACTGAATAGTGAAGATAAGGGGGAGTGGAACTTTAGTAGTAACCCTAATAATGTCATTGATCTATTTGACAGAACTAATACTTAAGTTGTCATAACAAGTCTCTAATAAATAAAATAACCCAACAAAGAAAAACAAAACCTATGGTAAAGAAAAAACAAGAAACTTAAAATACATTGTTAAAAAACAAACAGAAGGTGTGATATAAAAGAAAAATATGAACAAGAACACACAGTCATACATAATAATATAAAAAATAAAAATTTATAAAAAAATAAAAATTTATAAAAAAACAAAAACATAAAAAAACTCACTCAAACACGACGATGAACATAAAAAAAAACACTAGGAAAACGCATATTTTAAATGTCTTTTTTATCTACTAAAAACATCGATAACAGAAAACATAATTTATTTTTCAGTCAGCCTATTTTCATTCATTATTCGCTCCGTGCGTGACAACAGCGCCAACTATTTTATGAACTAACGGACGATATTTGCGTATACTGACAATACAATTTTTAATAGAGTTCGTAATTAAAAAATATATATGTTAATTTTAATAAAAGTATATTGATTTGTAAAACAAGTGAAAAAATTATTATTATATATTTTTATTACTTTATCTAAAAAAGTAGTATAATCAATAAAAATCAATAATAAAACATAGGCAGGTATTTACGAGATAATGTATGAGATCTTGCCTAAGCCTAATAAGTTGTCATTGAAGAATAGGTTGAATAATGTCAAAATCAAAACATTACCATTATCTAATAACGTAGAATTAAAACATATTAACAAAAATAATTGGTATATTTGTGATTGTAATTTATATTTTCTTCATTTTTAGTTCGAAAGAACCCATATAAATTAATGATTAAAACTGGTTTCCTATCAATAAGCCACAAGATTTTATTTCAGCCATATACAATAATCAAAGGCAGAAATCTAATCATTTGCCATTTAAGATTTAAGGGATGTTGAAGAATATCATAAAATAATAATGTATTATTTATTTAAAACCTTTTTTTTACTACTAACCTGAGAAATTGCTATTATAATAATAATAATAATAATAATAATAATAATAATATTTATTCATAACATACAGATTAATTTACAATTTACAATTTTTTTTTTCACAAAGATAGTATTAAGAATAAATATAAGGTTAGAGATAGTTTAAACTAACATAACAAAAGACAGATTAATTAATTTTAGCTCGTTAAAACCGATGTGGTCGTGCACGAGCAATAAAATTATTAATAATTATGATTTCTTTAGATTTTATAAAAATATAGAAAATAATACTATACAATCTTGTAAAAATGTAACTAAAAGTTGAGAGTAAGTAAGCAGGTAATTAACTAATTATAAAAAGGGTAAAACGTGTGAGTAGTGGAAAGGTAAGTTTAACAACTGTATATTAATTTTATGTTTTTTTTTTTTTTTTTTTTTTTATATCTAAAATATATTAATTATTTTTTTGGTCAATAATAGCAAGAAAGTCCTGTCTGTTTGAATTTAACACAAATTTTTTAAAGATGCTTTTAATCATATTTAATGAATTAATGGTTGTTATATAAATTTTATACATATTGGGCAAGTAATTAAATATCTTAGAAGATAGATATAGAATATTTCTTTGTCCAATTGTTTTTTTACTTATATCAGTAGCTACGAAATTTTTATTTTTTAACCGAGTAGAGTAGTTGTGTTCTATATTTCGTAATATATTTTTATTTTTATAGATGTTCAATATAATAGAATAAACATATAGTTGTCTGATATCCATGACCCTACTCTCCAAAAATAGTAAGTCAGAGGGATGGTCCATTTTTTTATTGTATATGATTTTTAAAATTTTTCTTTGAAGTACTTCTATATTTTTTAGGTGTGTTTGTAAAATACCACCCCATCCAAGAATCCCGTAATTTAATCTTGACTCTACGAGTGAGTAATAGATTATTTTTAGTTGGTTAATTTCTAGTATTGATTTTAGATATTTAAACTTTGAAAGTAGCAATCGTAAACACCTCGCAATGTCTCCAACATGTGCATCCCATTTCAAGTGAGAATCGATTTTAATACCTAAGTATTTTATTTCTTGGGTGTATTTTATAATAATATTTTGCAAGCTAGGAATATTAATTTCGTTATATGGTGGCAAAGAATTTTTATAACTACTAAAAGGCATAAAATAGGTTTTGTCAAAATTAATTGTTAGTTTTTTATGTCGAAACCAATCGATAATTTTTGAAAAATCTGACTCTATTTTTGTTTTTAAATTCTCCCATGTGTCACTGCTGTATATGACAGCAGTATCATCAGCAAAACTGATTATTTTGCCCTCTACTTCAACATCGAAAAGACCATTAATATATACACTGAATAAAAGTGAACCCAATACGGTGCCCTGAGGGACACCATAAGTTGTGGTGTGAAATTGGCTGACAACATCATTAACTTTTACCTGTTGCTGCCTGTCCTTTAAATAATCCTTGAGAAGATCATGTGCTGGGCCACGTATTCCTGCATCCTCCAAAGCATCCACTAGCTGTTCATGTGAAACAGTATCAAACGCCTTGGCTAGATCCAGAA